ACAAAAGACCATCTTATAGGGACAAACATATTCGGCTTCGGGTATGTACATATGCCATTGCTCAGATATGTCAGACCGTATAGAAGAGACGAGGTTGTAAACCCAAACCACCCCTATCAAAAATCATGCAAAGTGACTACTAAACTCCAGAAACTAAGAACCTAATTCTGCAACAAACTTCACACAAAAGTAAGAATAAGTCCGACCATTAAAATTTAAATCTAAATACACGTTTCAAACAATGATGGCGAAAAGAAAGGGAACAATAGAGGAAGACAATAAATAACATCTATGTGTTCGCATGTATGCATATCCAAAAACATGCACGCAAGACACTTTACAACGCAAGTAGACACTTTTCTGAGTTTTCTAAGAACGGCACATACTTGCTTATAAATCGGGTTCTACTAAACCCATCACATTACCAGACCCTGCTCTGCAGATGAATAACGTTTGAAACAAAATAGAAGCTGATAATAATATGACATTTGCTCATAAATAGATTCCTTACCTGGATGACCCCTGACACGCAGATACATAGAAGTTCGGGCAAGACATTAAAAATGCCTGAGTTTATTTCCTTTCAAAGCCTTGCGATATGTATGTGCACACAGCCATCGTTGACAGTCTAGTTGACTATCCAGTTATTTGTAGAACACAGTTTGATATTCAAATTTAAGTTCTATATATAATGCGACAGCTACAAAACAACTATTATTTTCAAATATAATACTCGATACAAGATTTAGATATTTGACTGATAAATAAATGTTCTTCATGCAAGACCTTAAGCACTTTTTTCAGTTCACTACAAATCATCTTTCCGGGTTCTTTTCTCCTTTGTATGAGAAACTCTACCAACATATAATCTTTCTTTAAGAAATGTACTACATCATAAATTCATGTGATGTAATTTTAAATATTTTCAGCAATTACATTTGGTAGCTTATTATTAAACTCTAGCATTAAGGCATTTACGTTTACATGTATTTGCAACCCTGCCATCCAAATTTTGCTGACCAAGGAAGGCTAATAAAAAGGGCCAAATTAATAACAATGCCTTCCGATGCTAGCATTTGTGTGTGAGACAATACTGCATATTACGGTACTCTCTAGCAGTTGATTACAAACTCTTGCAGCATGTTTATCTCGGATTTAAATTTGATGTTTAAATAGGAGGGATTAATATAGAACTCATTCGTCTAATGGCGAAAATAAATTGCCTCTAAAAGAATGTATCCATTTGCAAACATGGCTAATTGCTCAGGGTGTCAGGATCAATTAATTGATTACTTTTTCTAAAGGATCCTTAAATAACGGATACTTTCCAACCAATCTACAACAGATGAGGAGAAAGGTTAATATTATATGTGCCTTAAAGAAGGTATATCTCTTATAGTTAAATTTTACTTTATTTAGTACAAAGGTGGTCAATCTGCTGTAAATGTGATTACTAGGCCGAGGTTTACCCCAATAATGAAAAGCGGAAATTTAGAAGAATTTTGTCAATATTCAGTCCATTCCATAGTCAATTTTGCTCAACGTTTCTAGCAGCAAATCCTGCACTAAATGATGCAATTTTCCTTGAATTTGTCAAAAGCAAGGTTTTGATTGCTAGATCTTTGTTCCAGTAAAATGTAATGTTTTTAAAGAAGAACTGGGTGCGTGTAATATTTCTAATAGAAGTGTCTAAAATAATATTTCTACTTGGTTGCCTTAAAACTCAATTATTTCTAAAGTGATTGATCTGTGAAAGACGAAATTCACTTTTTTATGCTCAATAACTGGCAGCTGCAAAAGCAGACTGTGATATTTCTCATTAGGAATCTAAACGCGTACAATTTTCTTATTTAGTTGATAAGTACATACGGATGTGATCTTTCACGGAACTGAGAAAAGCAATAATTACATGTTTTAACTGTCAATCAGCATGGTTGTGATACATGTCAATGCATTCCTTTTCTCTGGCCTTAATGGGTGACATAAATGACACGACGAACAGGATTTGAGGGTAAATGTTTTATTTGGGATTTGACACATTTACAGTAAGCCGAAAATTACAAATTATCTATATGTATATATATATATATATATATATATATATATATATATATATATATATATATATATATATATATATATATATATATATATACATATATATATATATATATATATATATATATATATATATATATATATATATTTATATATATATATATATATATATATATATATATATATATATATATATATATATATATATATATATATTTATATATATATATATATATATATATATATATATATATATATATATATATATAAATATATATATATATATATATTTATTTATTTATACATATATATATATATATATATATATATATATATATATATATATATATATATATATATATATATATACATATATATAGATATATATATATATGTATATATATATATATATATATATATATATATATATATATATATATATATATATATATATATATGTATAATCATTATTAATAATTTGAAAGATATGTATTCTTTCAATGCTAATGTTGTTCTTGTAATAATTAGCAAAATGATAAACCGGGGTGGTAACTATACGAAACAAAAATATACTTACAAAGACATATAAGAACAAATCACTCTAAGATTCATTACTGGTAGTTATGGATTATCAACATCGTAGTAAAAAAAAAATAAGTTCTGAATATGTGCTCTGCTTGCTTTTTCTTTACTTACTAAATAATAATTTTACACCAGCTGTTTCTGACACCGCTGTTCATCGACCTTAAAAAGCCAGAGGATTTGAGGTTTATAATTCGTTTCCAAACTATTTTAGTCAAAGGTAGAAAGCATTCAGATACATATATATTCATTACTTAGCTAGCACAATTATAGGTTCATTGTTGGTAGCAATTGTAAGATACTGAAGCAATGATGAATCATTATAGAAACAAATTTTTCAAGTCAACAAACGTTCATGAAATTTTCATGAAAACGGATTCAATTCAGATTGAATAAACATGCCCCTTGAATTCGTGAAGTTTTGAGAAAATGTATCACAAGCATTCCAACAAAAAACCAAATGTTGATTTAGTTCATACAATAGAACTGGAAGAGAAGCAAACAAATAAACAATGAAACAACTGATGTGTCTTTTGAAAGAACAGATACATTTTCATATCTGAATGTAAGTTTGTGTCTCTCTAAGTACAATATGGTACCTGTTCTAACCTATAAAAATTACATTAATGACCAGTGAGTAAAAGCCGGGAAAAATATATAGTTCAAATAGATCATATAGAAACATTGTCATATGTTGGAGAGAGAGAGAGAGAGAGAGAGAGAGAGAGAGAGAGAGAGAGAGAGAGAGAGAGAGAGAGAGAGAGAGAGAGAGAGAGAGAGAGAGAGAGAGAGAGAGAGAGAGAGAGAGAGAGAGAGAGAGAGAGAGAGAGAGAGAGAGAGAGTTGGAAAAATTAAACTAAATGCATGTTAGATCCAGACATACAAATGAATTCTGTCATAGTTCTAGCCTTGATTCGAATAAAATGGTGTTCATTTTAGCAGTTGCGCTAATTTAACCGTAGATTAATGGTGCGTAATTGACATTCATTAACCTTGATGATGCAAAGCGGGGAGGTGGGATGCGGATTCATGTCGCTGTTTAGTGTAAATATACTTGAAATAATTTTTCTGAATTGTTCCTTTCTATCCAAGTTTCATTCAAACTTGAAAGAACCAATCGAGCAAGCCAGTTATAGGCCGATATCAAATACAAGAGAGAAAGAAAACCAATATGATCAAACAAGTTATTTCATTTACCAGTACAAGCTGCCTTGAATCTTTTGGTGGCTGGCATTAATTTTATTTCAGAACTATGATTCCTATTTCAATCCTAATTACAGTACTGACAGAGCTAAAAAGAAAAAGAAAATTGAAATTAATTTATTTGACACATATACATACTACATTTCTAGATAACACAGTTAAATTGCAGCATTAAAAACATCAACTGCTCGAATATATCTTCTTACTCGATTTATGCATGTATAATTCCAATTTTTATGAATTGACTGATTTTCCTACGTTTTAATTGGATGTAATTGGTCACGTGATATTGATCTGAAGGGGTTTTTTTTTTACACATCGATAAATTCTGCGGACTCATTTTGGTTCCCTGTGTCCAGATTATTTGGTTTGAAGCTTAAAATATATCAACGCTTTACATCCTTATTTTAACAAAATAACAAGCTCCCACCCACCCACTCCTGTGATCCGATCAAAAATGTCAAGCCACATATTAAAATCAAACATTAGAAGTTAAAACAATGTAATTACACAGTCCTTCCTGCACTCCAATTCACCCCTTATGCCGAAGAAGGCGTAGACAGGCTTTAGAAGCCAATCTTTGGAAATTTTTGCATTGCACCTCGACAACATGTTACAGCAGTAGTCATTAAAGGTCAGGTTTATGTCAGCCAGGGGATCTCACTAAAATAGACACGATTTTATTTTTGAAAGATCGAAATGCATTGAAAGTAGCAACGAAGTTGCTATAACAACAGGTGACATACGCAAGAGTAATTTTCGAGAAAAATGAATATTCCTGGTTTAACCACAGCAAGCAAATTTTATGTATTAAAATAATGATCATAGCAATATATCATGACTCGCTATGATATTCATCCCCGTATCACTGTATAAAGAATAAGTGAATCTTGGCTAGCGAAGATAAAACTGTGTGTGTTTATGTGTGTGTGTGTTTTAGATTTTTAACGTACTTTTAACACTTTTTCAGTCGTATCACTTCGATGTCTGCAGTGGCACAGTTTATAGTGATGTCTAGAAATGGGGCATCATGTCGCAGACATGTGGCATGATGATCTCACCCAGTCACATTATTCTGACACCAGGCCGACCAGTCCTAACACAAACCTCTTAATGCTGATCGCCAAGCGATGCAGCTGTTAGTACCATTTTTGGTATGACTCGGCTAGGGTTCGAACCTGCGACCTCCCACATCCGAGTCGGGCGGTTTAACCACTAGGCCACCGGAGCGGTATAAAACTATGTATTCCATAACAGTTAAGACGCTAATGAAAGAAAGCTTAGAGGTACATTAAAGCAAATATATTTTTGATTAAAGCTGATGATCTGATGTTAGAAAGGAAGTAAACTGGAATTATAACGATTAAATGATCATGGTTGGGTATTTATCGATGTGTAAATTTTCCAAATCACTCATAAAGGTATGCTAATTTAAACGTAGCTTAATGGTGCGTATTTGACATTCATTAACCTTGATGATGCATAGAGGGGAGGATGGATGGGGATTCACGTCGCTGTTTAGAGTACGTATACAGGAAATGATTAACCTAAATTATTCATAATCACTCACAAAGTAAATACAGCCCTTCGGACTTTATTTACTTTTGAGTGATTAGGTAAAATTTACACATCGATAAATATCCAACCATGATCATTTAATCCTATATTACATAATTTTGTTGTCACCGATATACAAAATGTCATAGCAACAATAAGTTGCGGGTGTTTCGAGTTTTCAAGTAATGACCATGCTTATTGTTCGTAAACAATAACTATTTTCAAAAAAGTTGCAAACTTTAATTTGACTTACAAACCTTATACTAGATATTGAAACTTTTTTCTTACATTTACTTTTGTTTTAGATTCCTATATGGTACTTGTCCCAACAAAGGGTGCTATGAGACATTAATATTACAAACCACGTAAATATGGCAAAACCTTGATAATGTATACATCAGTTAACCGAACATGTCACTTATCCGAACCAGTAGAGACATTGCTTGGAACGTCGGCATTTAGTTATCAATAGAACGTTATCTGAATAAGTATCGATACTATTTGTGTTTATGATTTGTAAAATTTCTAGGAAAATGCTTTAAAATACCAACAAAAAAATAATATTCGTTCCTATCTTTTGCTCTGAAATTATTGTATACATTTTTTCAAGAATTTCAATTGAGACATGCTGCAACATCTTTAGTCGTAACATTGTGCAGAACATCCCAAAGACTATCTGCTTTTTCTCTGTCATAGTATCTGCATCCGACCGCATAGTGCTTATTTTCTGTGGTGGTGTTTCCATCAGTCGGCACGATACAATCCTACTAAATCTATACAGCTTTTCTGACAGCTGTCCGGATTTGTATAGTATCTGCTCATGCTCTTGCGTGAATGGAACTAAGATCGTTTGAGAAAATGAAAACCATGGGTCTCAAAGCTATCTAGATATTAGTGCGCTTAACATTTTCAGTGAAAACACTTCATGTGAATGCATTTCTTGTAATCTGGAAATTTCAGTCAGGATTAATTGCGCATACATAATAATTTTCCTGCCTCCTCAAGTCTGATTTCACTGTAAAAATTCAAAATTTCATGATGCTTATACCCTACAAGATTAAAATCCGAATTTCAATCGTTTTAGATTAGTCCAGTATGACGGAATCCACCTTACATTTGCATGCAATAAAACAATATTTTTTATCAAGATTTGAGACGATTGAAACAAAACTAATGTTTCTTTAAAATTATATTCTTTTCTGATGTAGGAACAGCAATAATTCCAGCCTTACCTAGACAATGTAAAGCAGACGATATCGAAATATGAACATGCTTTTATTCTAAACCTATATTCACAGCTAAATTTATTGTTTTGTTGTTTTTTCTGAAATTGTGGCATTTGATTTCCAGTCGTTTATCAGAAGTCTGAATACTATTGTGAAAACTGTTGGCAGGTTTAACTTTCGGAAACTTTATTTACAGTTGTGTTCCATAGTCTAACTTTTTAGCATTTGATTATGATTTCCTAATAGACTTGGGCATGACAAATCTGTTCCCACAATTCCCTATTGCAAAGAAAAGGCATCTCCTCCAAATGTAGAAATGACCGAATTGTCACACTGTTTTTAAACTGAATGAAACATTAAAACCTTGCGTATATTTATTAATCTCGTTTACCTACACAATTTGAATGATACATTAAACATTCATGCATTTTCGTTAGTCTTGTTGCTCTTTATATATTGAATATAGAGGATCTCAAATGGGCAATGATTTATTATTGGGTTTATCAAACGAGTTGAATAATGTACAGCTTTAGCGAGGATTGGCATTATTTAACGAGGTCCATAAATTTAATATTAAATCATTACCCATTTGAGATTATTTTTTCACAGTTTTTGTTTCAGTGAAAATTATTTAGATAGAATAAAGAATGAATAATTTCGTTCAGTTTGATAGAAGTTGCACCATTTATTTGCTGTGCGTACAAAACAAAATAGTTGCAAACGAAGTTGAACTAGTATCAAACTTTAAAAGTAGATTATACTTTTCATACAATGTAAGTCAAAGAATAAGCGTCCTTCCGAATAAATAGAAAATCTAACCTAGACAAAATCTTTCGTCAAAATAGAATGTCCAATGCTCGTGATGTGAAATTATTTGATGCAGCACCGGTTAAAATGCTAAAATGTCAATGTCAACGTAACCTAAACTGTCACTTTTATTACTAAAC